TTCTTCACCACCCAGTCCAACAAGAAAGCACTGCCTGTTTGTACGGACCAGCACACATGTAATCACTTCTAGTTTTCTTTGTTTTGGCAATTTTTTTTTTTTTTCTTAAACATGTGAAATCTACCACGCCCAATGGGAGAAAGATAAGAAAGAAACTTACAATAACTTCCTTAAAGGATTCTTGGTCATTGATTGTCTTGTCTTCTAGACATCCAGACTGGTTCAAGTAGTAATAGTTCTCTGGCATAGATAAATAAAGCTCTTCTATAAAAGAAAAAAAAAATGTAACATTGACACTTAGCAGCCCAATGTCAGACAAAATCCCAAGAATAGATTTCACTTGGTTTAAATAAACTAGAGGGCATACATCGTTCTATCTTTTGCTGTCCTTAGTTAAGATAGCAATGGTCTCTTGGAATCATCACCTCAGGAAAAGTAGAAAGAACTGAAAATCAAATGAAATGGATGGTAGAAAGTAACTGATGTAAATACAGCTTCATTGCTTTCCTCTAAAAAGCAAATGTCTAGACATTAGCTTTATTTGTATATTGTTGTTACATGCAGTCGAGTTGGTTCCGTCTGGAGTTTCCGAGGAGTGGCTGATGGGTTTGAACCTCCGGCCTTGTAGTCCAGTGATTATCCTATAGTGCCACACCAGGACTACGTGTGGCCTAAAGTTAGCACTACTTGCCTTTCATTATATATTCTTCATACTCCAAACCCACGGCCATGGAGTCAATTCTGACTCCCAACAAACCCGTTTTCCATGGCTATAAGTCTTTACGGAAGCAGAAAGCTCTTCCGTGGAGCGGCTGGTGGGTTTGAACTGCTAGCCTTGAGGCTGTCCATTTATCCTACAGCACCACCAGGGTTCCTTTATTCATCATCAGTTTGTTTTTGTTGTTGTTAAGTGCCATCGAGTCAGTTCTAACTCATAGCAACCCTGTATAGGGTTTCTGAGAAGCTGGTGGGTTTGAACTGCCGACCTTGTGGTTTGCAGTCCAGTGCTGATCCATAGTGCCACACCAGGAGTCATATATACCATTTAAATAAAAAAATACACCAACGGGAGAAGGTAGAATCACCTCTAAATGATTTTCATCTTGTCTCGACAGGTTTGGTAAAAGGAGATAGGGATAAGATTCCTATTATTCAATCGTGAGTAGTTGGTATCATGACTAATTGCGACTTTCACAATTGTAAAGGCAGAAGTTTTGTAGCATAACGGGGGGAGTAGTTAATCTTACAGTCTAGGTACAGAGGACCCTATGACCATCAAGGGAAAAGAGCACAAGCAGAATGTGGGACCTTATCCAGAGAAGTAGCGACACCAGAGATGGAGTAAGAGATGGGGCAAGGAAAGGGGGAGCAGCTGAGGACTCTGGACTCATGAAAAGACAAAGGCTGTGTACTGGTGATCAGGACGCAGGACTGCAAAATGTGCCCTTGGGTTGTTTAAATGATTATATATTCCTGAGTGTTCTGGTGTACATCCCCACCCCCACTCCAAAAAAACAAAAACAAAAACAGGGAACAGAAGCCATACTGCTGAATGATGCTTCACTGTGGGGATTGTAATCACTGCAATGAAATGATGCGTGTAAAACTGATGTTCTCCCATGTGAGCTATCACTCAATTAATAATAAAAACTTAAAAGGAAAAATGCACCAAGATTCCAAAGGCAAAATTCCTGGTTTTCTGTCTCCATGACTCGGTTCTAATACACACTGGAATGTGGATGCTTTCAAGCTGAGGTATTTCTTTGCCCCTGGTCGGTGGAGAATGCAGGCCCCACGCCCACCTTCCCCTAAGTACCGCTGGTGCGGTGGATACTCACCTCTCTCTTCGGGTCCTAGCCCTGCCAGCAGTGCATAGAATATGTGATAATTCCGCTCCCCAGGGTTCTGTCTCACTACTCGGTTCTGTGAAGATAAATCAGGTTTACATTCAGAGAGGTCTCCTCCACAACACTGGAATAAACCACTCATCTTTGAAAACTGACTCCAGGGAAGTCAGGGTGAATGAAATCACGCATACTTACTTTTTCTAATAAATCTTCATGTGGAAAGCAATGGCGTGTCAAGGAATAAAACAAAGATGGTGATATGCTCAAATTTACCTTTAATTTTCTCATCTTGGTCACCCAGATCATTACAGTCTCCCTCCCCCAAACCCTGTGTGTCCACTGAGACTGCCAGGAACAAAGGACAAGCTCAGGGAGACTCTTTCATCAGAAACCAATTCCTGACCTGACACTTGGAACCCTATGACCAGGGGCCAAATGATTTGATAGCACAGGATTTCAAACTGTGTGTGTTTTGAGCTGAGGTTGTTGTTGTTGTTGTTGTCAGGTGCCATCGAGTCGGAACCGACTCATAG